TGGCATTTTGTTTTTTGCATTGATCTGAACAGATGGCTCTGAAACAGCTTTAGACATTATCATCTTTCTCAGATGTATCCAAATTCCAGCTACCTGCATGATTCCAAAAAAAGAAGGATGAGAGGTCTCCAACTCAGCTGTCTCTGAATTCAAGCCCACCTTATGTGACTGAGCAGCTCCCATTCAACTGGCAGTCTCCAATGTCTCCCAGGAGGCCTGCAAGCCAGGCTATTTTCAGAGGTTTACCCTGTGACAATGCCTCCACTTGGGTTCCCGCAGACATTAATCTCCATCATAGGTGTCTCATCAAAAGCAGACATATACCCACTGAAAAATAATGTGTGCTAATGAAGTTTGGAGAATTTAGGGCTTTTTTATAGTGGCAACCAGAAGCAGATGGAGAACAGGTTCTTGGGAATCTGTTGGCTTACAACGTCTGAGGGTCCTTTTTCATAAGAAGCTAAAACAATGTCCATAAAAGGCAGCAAGTTCACAAAGTCCTGGCCTCAATGCCGTCTACTTAGTACCTACCCACATCCCCCAACCCCAACAGAAAGAGCTAAGAGGAGATTAGAACCAGGAATGTGACCCCCACCCCTTCCCCTCTGATATCTAAACTGAGTGCCACAGCAAGAGTGAGGTCTGGCTTCTAACTTTCACATGCACAAAACCACTTTAGATTAGAATACACTAATACAGGTCATAGAATGCACAACGAGATCTAGATTTGCGGTTCATCTACACACATGACCTGCTGTTTGACTTGGCTAAGTAAGTTTATTTTCTTCTCCCAGAGTAGTGTTCTTAATAACAAAACAGGGACATCAACATATACCTCCAAGCAAGGTTAACTCCTTACAAAAGAAAGTTTCAATACAATCACGAATATGCGTGTGTTCACAGTTATCAGCATGACAAAATAGTTTATTGGTCTGTTTATAAATAATTACTTAAGGTAAAGCCCTGTTGGTTTATATGGAATTTAATAATAATAATTTTTTTCTAAGTAGGCAGTTATAATAATAGATATATACGTATATAATCAAGTCTGGCAGAAGGTGGCAGACATTCTCAGTTAAATGCACACCAACCAGGATTTTGATAATACAAGAGTAAGTTGTTTAAAGTATTGATTGCAGATTTGGGGAAAGGTCTTTTATCTGAACTAGAATATTAAGATTCAAATTTATATTAAAAGCATTATGTGGCCAGTGCGGTGGCTCATGCCTATAATCCCAGCACTTTGGGAGGCCAAGACAGGCAGATCACTTGAAGCCAGGAGTTTGAGACCAGCTGGCCAAGATGGAGAAACCCTGTCTCCACTAAAAAACACAAAAATTAGCCAGGTATAGTGGTGCGCGCCTATAAGCCCAGCTGGATTCTGGAGGCTAAGGCACAAGAATCACTTGAACCCAGGAGGCAGAGGTTGCAGTGAGCCAAGATCCTGCCACTGCACTCCAGCCTGGGCAACAGAGCAACACCCTGTCTCAAAAAATAATAATAATAATAAAAGCATTATGTTTCCCAGGTATGCAGAAATCAACCAGAATGTGACTAACCTACATGCAGGCCTTTATTAAATCCTTATTTATGTTACCTGCATGTGTTTACTTCACTACCTGGACCTTATCTTGCTTGTTTATGTAAGAAATGAGGGTAACTCTCATACATCTTTGCTCAGACAATGTAGCTGCTAAATTAAATAACTTGTAATACACATTTACATATCATACATGTCCACCAGCGCTTTTGAATTCTATTTGTCCAGATGTGACTGCTTGGTTGTGGGGGCCACCTGCCGTGTCCCCTTTGTGATCTGATCAGTGCAGGCGGCTCCTATTTCTGCCTCTAACACCCTGTTGGGCAGTAATAAGATGTTAAAGGCAACAACAGAGAGAGAAGCCGGGCTGTCAGCTTCAGAGAGGAAGGGGGTGAAGGGTACAACAAGGAAGAAAAAGAAAGGGAGTTGAGGGGAGATCAAAGACAGGCAGGAAGAAAGCCAAATTGCTAAGAGAGGAGATGTGGCTTCAGGAGCTTGGGACCCTAAGGAAAACCCCAAAGCAATGAGATTCAAAATTGTGCCATCCCATCACCCCAGCTAATTGAATTATTGAATGTCCCACATGGAAAAAGCTAGTACAGTGAAAAATAGCCCATACTCAGTGTAGGCAGAGCCCTGCATAGGTGCTGCTGGAAACCTGAGCTTGTTTCTTCCCAACACATTAACTACCACCACTTTATCCCCCATCCTGAGGAAACCTTTGTGTGACCATTTTCTGTAGGGGGCGTCCGTGGTGTTGGCTTTTTTTTTTTTTTTTTTTTTGGAGGGAAGAGAGAGACTCAGAACGCACACAGAGAAAATGCTAATGTCATTCAGCTCTGTTTCATTGTCAGGAGGGACACATGAGGATAAAAACATAGCTCTCCAAACCATTCTCTCCGCTACCCCTCCTCCCTGCACCACCACCATCCCTTCGGCTGGATGTGTCTCTGCACTTTGTTCTAATTTATCCCATGCATAATTTATTCACGTTTGTATTGTTTCCTGATCAGCAACTTTTAAAAACAAATGAAATATATAAGATGTTTTATTAAACAAGTTGTTTAAAAAAAAAAAAAAAGGCAGATGGTGTCCGTCTCCCAATAACAACGTGTGTGCTCCTGCATTAGGAGTTAAAAACTGTCCAGGGTGTGAGAGGCTGGGCTGGTCAGGGGTATTGTTTACACCCCTTTACCCCCAGGGAAAGGGTCTGGGAAGCAGAAAGGAATGGCTAATTATAAATGACCACTCAACTCCCACCTAGAAAAAGCAAGCAGGGGCGTTGTGTGTATGCTAGTGTGTGCATGCGTGTGGCGGCACAATTACAAATACATCACATTGCAACTGTTTCTAATTATACAAAGTACAATTCAGAACTAATTCCCCTAACCAGCCGGGATTCCGCCACCTTCTTTCCCCCCCGTCTGTCCCTTCCCCCACCCTTAACCCCACCCTACACAGACTCCCTCCCCAAACGCGCACCCTACTGTGATCCAAAAAAACCCTGGAGCGAGCAGGGGAACACTGAAGCTTAGAGATACTGCGCCTGCCCGCGCGAAAGCGGGCTCCCGGGTAACTAGGGTACGGCTTTCCCAGTAGGAAACAAACCTGGTGCACATGTGAAATAGATTCTCTAACTTGAGTTTACCAGGTGGCATCAGCCTGGTTATGTGATTTCGGCTGGATATGGGGAAACTGCAAATCAGTTGTGGGTTCGGTAGAGACAGCATCAGCGGTGTTGCAGCGAAAGCAACCGGCAGCGAGGATGCGGCGAAGTTACGCCCATTTATTCTGCCATAAAACATTTTCTTTCTTGGATGAAACGCTGTGGCGTTCAAGTGCAGTGTATCCGAGCTTCCGAGGCAGAACTGAAGCCGGGAGCTCCTATCTGCTCAGCCTCAGCTTCCAACGTCCTCTTAACGGCAGCTTTCATATAAATATCTTTGAAACCTGGGGCATTCCTACCCGTTTCCCTATTTCTGGTGGGCGACGAGCTGGTGCAAACACGTCTGATTCTCCCTGTGCATTCCTTTGCGTTAGGAACCCCCCTACCGTCTCCGAGAGCGAACCTGGTTTTCAACTCCAGGAGTGGCGAGGGGTGAAGACGAGAATGCGCTGAATTAAAAGAAGCAGGGTCGACAGTGGCCACGCACCAGGGAGAATTCGGCACGAACCGCCCCCTACCCGGCCCGCACCTCCCTCTCCCCCTCTTTGCCTGCGGCTTCGTCCGGGCGGGGAAGTCCCGGTCGAAGGGGTGCGGACCCCCAGCCCACCTCGAATACGGAGGGAGCCACCCTCTGCCGACATCACCCAATAGCACCCCTTTCAGAGCGACACTAGTTTTCCGAGGCCACCCTTGGCTCCGCGATCGCGAGCGGACTTGGCGGCTTAACAGTTCCACCGACTGGAAGGAAGGAAGGAAGGAAGCCAGGATGAAAAGGAGGAGGAAGGCAGGCAGGCAGGCAGAAATTGGCTGTTGGACCCGGGGCTGGCCCCCGCGAGTGCTCGCCCGGCCCGCCCCACTCTGTCCAGGATCTGGACAAGCGCTCAAAGTCTCCCCGGGGCGGCCAGAGGCACCTGCCCCTCGCCCGGCCGGGAGCAGACGCTGCCCCCTCGGGCCAGGAGCCCCAAAACCGCCTCTCCGCCTGCCTCGGCGCCTCACCCAGAGGTGGCGAGAACACCATTCATAAGACCTGCGGCTTCCCTGCCTCCAAATCCACCCCAAGTTAACCCGAGTCGTTAATCCACTACAGCCAGGTTGCTCGCAAACACACGAGCAGACACACGCGCGGTCGCCCGGAGCGCCTCCGAGATCCGGGGGCTGCCGGGGAAAGCCCGGGGCGACCACCTGGGACCCAGCGCGCCCGGGACCCGCTGCTTCCCCCGCGGTGCTCCCAACTCCGGAAGGTTTGCACAAACTCCCCGCGAGCGATCGGAAGGCGAAGAGCGCCCTGCAAACTCCGGAGCCTCCGCGGTGCGTCCGCCGGACCCAGCAGACCCAGCGGCGGGGCGGGGGCCGCGGGCTTGGGGGTGCAGGGCTCGGCCAAGTGCACCGAGGCAGTCCCGGCCCGACGCTCGCCCCCCGCCCGGCCGCCCCCGGAGCCTCGCTCCCTGCCCGCGAGGCGGGGGACTCCAGGGACCGCGCTGTCCCCGAGCTCCCGCGACCCCCCTGCTGTAGAGCGCTCGAGCGCCGGGCTCCTCCGCCGGCAACCCCTATCTCTCGCTCTCTCTGCAATTTAGCAGAACACAAATGTAACAATTTTCTTCTTGTTAATTGCATCTCCTGACATTTCTGCGCGTTGGGGGAAAAAAAAGAAGTAAGAGCTGAAAGAAGAGAGAAGCCCCGCCGCGGCTGGAGGCGCCTGCAAGCGCAAGCACTGGCAGCGCTCGCCACGCAGAAGGCGCCTTTTTTTTCATATTGAAACCACGCGGAATATGTACATTTTTTAGTCTTACTTACGCTTTCAGGGGGTTGTGAATGACAGTCGCCATTTTGCTACAATGTAACAGAATATTGTCTGTCTCAGAGTTCTAAAGGTTCGCTCAGGGGAAGCGACAGGCCAATCAGAGCGCGGGATACCGGCCCGCCGGCCAATCGGCGCGGCTGGTCGCCAGGTGGGCGGGGCCTGCTCGGTGGTAGTTATTAGGGGAGCTGTCAAAGCCCAGAGGTCACTCCCTTTTGTAGAGCCCGAGAGCCAGCAGGTCTTAAAGGGGAAGTACCGCGTTGGCAGCTCCTTTTCGGGCTGGGGAAAGTGGAGACGCACGGGAGAATATTATAGTTTGGTTCAACTCCCTACTTTTCTAAATAACTGCAGAGTTTGCGCTCCTGGACAGAAATATTTCAATATTGCCAGCAAGCCACTGAATCCTATTCATTAGCTTTTGGCTTTGCATATCAACATTTTTAATCCCCCAAAGGGTAAATCCCCGTGTTTCAGTACAAAAGTTGGAAGGCTGCCGTTTCGTGTAACAAATTACTTCGTGTGCTTTGCCGTTTGCTAATGCTCTGGGTCCTGCTGCTTTTTAATATTCTTATTCCCGAAGTGTTCTCTTTATCTCCGCCACCTTCCTCTCTCGCTTCTTGGAACTGCCGCTGCTGTTCCTGGCGACTCCAGGACAGCAACTCACCCTCCCCCTGGAATGCCTCAATGTCAGGCTCACTCCCTCCTGCAGCCAGGGCTTTCTTTACGTAGTGCAGGGGGGTTACTCTGCGCGGTCCGCCGCTACCACCCCTTCTGTTCTGCTCCCTACACCAGAAACTTCCAAAATGCTCAGATTCCTGCTCGGTGGTGCGACCTGGAGCTCTGACCTTTAGGCTTAGAGGTAGGGAGGACTTCAGGCAACCTTTGGAAACTTTCTACTACTAGGAAGCAAGTGCCTAGGCAGAAGTCGTAGAGCCTGGACTGGGTGTTGTCAGAGTCCCTTTAGAGGAGTGGCACACGCGATTCTGACGTCACCTTTCACTACTTAGAAGGTGGAAAGAATTTGCTAGTGAATAATCCGATGTGACCCGAGGCGTCCAAAGAGTCTGTGTCTGCTTCAAGTCAGTGTGAACTCTTCACTGGCGAGCCCCTGACAAAATTGGGAGACTTCTGCGAAGTCAGGCTTCCACTGGGCACCGGGAAGCTCTGCGTGGATGAAATCGCATTAAATCGAGAATAGGGTAGGGGCCTCGTTAGCATACAGAAGTCTGGCTACCATTCCAAAGCTGTTTAATCAGGTCAAATAGCTAAGATAGTGGGGGAGGGGTGGCAAGGGGAGAGAAGTTGCCAAATTGCCAGTTCAAAGCTATGCCCTCTCACTTCCTTTTGCTCCTCTCAAGACAATGAATAAAATAAAATAAACATTCCAGAATTTCAAGAGTTCAACTACATACGCTATTAGATTTACAGATAAACAGAAAGTGACTGAATAACTGTTTGTAATAGATTTGAAATCTTTAACTCCTCTCTGCCTATTTAATAAGCAGAATCAAGTTCTACAGATTCCTTTGTAAATTCTTTGCATAGCATCTTGGCAGCGATTACAGTTTGAAAAAGTTATCTCCGAGACGGGTGGATCACGAGGTCAGGAGATCGAGACCATCCTGGCTAACCTAGTGAAACCCCATCTCTACTAAAAAATACAAAAAACTAGCCGCGCGAGGTGGCGGGTGCCTGTAGTCCCAGCTACTCGGGAGGCTGAGTCAGGAGAATGGCATAAACCCAGGAGGCGGAGCTTGCAGTGAGCTGAGATCCAGCCACTGCACTCCAGCCTGGGCAACAGAGCAAGACTCCGTCTCAAAAAAAAAAAAAAAAGAGTTATCTCCTTTTCCAAAATTAAAGTTTGAAAAATCCCTTCTTTACTAATTTGACAAGGGATTGGTTCAAAAGTCTATACTTGACATCACTGAAAAGCAAGCCCTATATTTTCACCCAAGAAGTATGAGTTTGAAGTATCAGTCAGAAGTCCCACTAACCTCTTTGAGGTATCAAAGACACAACAATTCAGATTGATAGACAACAACGCATTTTCTTACACACAGCCTGATAAAGTAGGAAATGTAGAGCCTCCCCTAAACAAGATTTACAATTTAATGGGGGAAGAGAGAAGAAATGAATTTATATTACATATTAAAACACATACTCTAAGCATGTACATATCATTTATTGTGTTAAAGCCTGCAAGCAGAAACCAGCATAATCTCTAACTACCTAACAAACTTGAAAATGTCAAATCAGATTTATCGATTGGATTGGAAAATAGTGAATTAAAGACAGTACTTTAAAAAAAAAAAAAAGGATAGACTTGTTTTTTGTAATCCAATGGAAAGTCATTTTAACTCTATCAATACAGTTATGACTTTTAAAGAAACAGTTATATTTAACATAAAAGAATTATTTTAACTTTAGTGTTTATATTATAGATCAAAATATAAAGTTTTTTGTTGTTGTTGTTGTTTTTTACCAGAAGGTTCAAAAGCAAAGGGGCATAGAGCAGGCATGTTTAAAGAAGACAGTATCCTTAAACAGAGTTTTGGAGAAGTTTAGCAGTTCTCGGGCAATTTCATAGTGCTGTACATGGCAGAAGTGTGAACTCTGGAATCTGCCAGCCTGAGTCCACTATTTACCAGCTGGGTTACCTTGGTCATATTTACTTGCCAGGATTAAATGAGGTAATACATGTCAAGTGTCTGACACACAGCAAGCTTTCATGTTATTATTTCTTACAGAGAGAACCAGTTCTTTCCTTATGGTATATGGAATGTAGGGAATCCAAAAAACAAGGCACAACAGAAAGTGAAATTAGCTATCACATTTAGTTTTCTAAACCCATTAATCCAAGAAAAATGATCAAATGGACAACTTGGATGAGAATAAAATAATAAATAGGAATGATGTTTCAATGAGGGGTCACATAACTACATAACCCTGAAAAAGGCCTCTTGCTGATTGTGATACCAAAACACCTTTTAAATTCTTTTTTTTTTTTCTTCCTGAGATGGAATTTCACTCTTGTTGCCCAGGCTGGAGTGCACTGATGCAATCTCGGCTCACTGCAACCTCCACCTCCCAGGTTCAAGCAATTCTCCTGCCTCAGCCTCCCAAGTAACCAATTACAGGCGCCCACCACCACGCCCAGCTAATTTTTTGTATTTTTAGTAGAGATGGAGTTTCACCATGTTGGCCAGGCTGGCCAGGTTGGTCTCAAACTCCTCAATTCCTCAGCCTCCAAAAGTTCTGGGATTACAGGCCTGAGCTACCGCACCCACAGCCTAAAATCCCATTTCTAAAGCTCTAGAGCTATTCATATATTTGAATATACTTCATTGTACTCCATCCCTTTGATCTTGATTTAGCTAGTTATGCAGCTTAATTTGGAGAGCAGAGTGGCCCCAGAATAATCACCTCCTCACCTCACCTGGAGAATGTTGAGCTTCACTGTCCAATATAGGCACCACGGGCCACAGGTGACTACTGAGCACTTGAAAAGTGGTTACTCCCAATTGAGATGCGCTGTAAGTGTAAAATAATGCACCTGATTTCAAAGACTTAGGAGAAATAGAAGGTAAAATAACTCATTATAATTTTTATAGTGATCGTATGTTGAAATGATATTTTGGATTTACTGGATTAAAGAAAATATGTTATGAAGACTAATTTCACCTATTTCTTTTTACTTTTTTTTAATGTGGCCACTAGGAAATTTTAAATTGCACATGTGGCTGGCATTGTATTTTTATTGTACAGTGTTGCACTGTACAACAAAATGAAGAGATCTGCCTTTTTGCACTGTACAATGAAAACATACCTGAAGTGTGTGCCACCAGGGAAAGAAGTGTGGGGACCATTCTCAACCATGTTAATTCACCCTTGATGTCAGTGAGCGAAACTCCCTGGCCCAGCTCCTGTGTTTGCCGAATGTCATCCATTTGAAGGAATATTGGGCACAACCAAGGACCCAAGAACCTAAGCCCAAAGGACACCCATCTCTCTTTTTTATTATTATTTATTTTATTTTTTGAGGCTGGAGTATAGTGATGTGATCTCGGCTCACCACAACCTTTGCCTCCCGGGTTCAAGCAATTCTCCTGTCTCAGCCTCCCGAGCAGCTGGGATTACAGGAGCCTGCCACCACATCCGGCTAATTTTTGTATTTTTAGTAGAGACAGGGTTTCACCATGTTGGACAGGCTGGTGTCGAACTCCTGACCTCAGGTGATCCACTCACCTCGGCCTCCCAAAGTGCTGGGATTACAGGCATGAGCCACCACACCCAGCCGCCATCTCTCTTTACTCCTAAAATGTTTGAGGGCTATTTCAGCAGACAACACAATGCTATAAGAAACCCATCCAGAAGCACGAAAGAATGGCATTTCTGTAGCAAGTGCCAATCTTTCCAGCTGACTTTTTAAAGGCACATGTAAACGTGAGAGAGAAGTATGGGAAGGAGACACAGGCCTTCCAAACAGCCAAAGAGTTCATTTGAAAGAGGAAGTGTGCCACAAAAGCCATCCAAAACAAATGCAGTTCCTAATGGGCTTCAAGAGCTGAAGGAGTTTTAAGGCTCATGGGGATTAAAAACAAGAACAAGCTCATCCTCAATCCCTCCATTCATCCACAGAGCAACCAGCCATGGCCTCAGCAACTGGTTGGCTGTACTGGTTCCCTGAGATACAGAACCAGCTCTGATATGTTATCCAGGCACTGAGCTGAAGAGGAATAGGAGTCCTTTGGAAGAAAAGGGAGCATCAAAACTGCAATCTAATTTTCTCTCTTCCTAGGGGAATGTGGGGAGAGGAGTTTTTAGACCCTTCACAGTATCTCAGTGCATACAAACACACACACACAATCAATTTCTCAGGATGGGAGATGCTCCTGGGGTAGTCCTTTGAAACCTCATAATTCAGGGCAGAGTCAAATAAAATCAGTGTTTACTGCTGCCCACTAACTTCATTCATTCATTCATTCATTCATTCACTGGAGGCTTTCTCTAAGGGAGGCATTGTGCTAGGCACAGGTGGCAAAATAAAAATAAACCAGACATGGAAACAATTC